CTGCAGGTGCTCACCTGTCAGGTCGAAAGCACCTCTGAGCTGCTAATTAATAATTAATCATGTAGCTCATTATTCAAAATGACTTACTGTACATGAATCGCAAACCTGCAAGCTTTCAGTTACTAGACCAGATCACCACACTGCTATAACAGAAAGTGAGAAAGAATGGGAGGTTTTAGTGTCATGGATGTAATAGAGAAATTAAAAACGGTTTATTTTTTATTGTACATAATGTTCTATATTGTTACTTTAAATAACTGTTTAAATGACATGGTTAGAGATTTATGTGCAACCCCTTCAGACATGACTAAATTATAGCACAGCATCCTATAAGTGATGGCACATTTGTCTGAAGGTACTTGGACAAAGACATTGCTTCATTTAGTGAAGATACTTTAAAAAGTGACTGGCATTGTTATCTCTTTAAAACTTGTTCTTCTTTTCCCCTTTGTTTTAAAGTTTCTGAGTTGCTTGTTCTGAGTGTTCTGAGTCTTACAAAAGGTTCTGAGCAATTTCTGTTTCATGGGGCAAAAAGAAAAGCTTGCAGTATGTTTCCTGATGGAAAGCTGTAGCGCTATAAAAAATTCAGTTCCGTCACTTGTTCCTCTTTTGCACTGCAGTGTTAGTATGTGTAAAAATAACTTTCTCAAACAATATTATTAACAAAGGACTGAATTCAGTTTTGCTTTAAAATGACATTGTTAGACTTTTCTGTATAGAGATGTTAGAAGGAACTTTCTGTTGAAAACTTTTTTTTCTTGCAAAATTTGTGCCAGAGGTATATTCTAGTCAAGGAAAATGTAGTTTTCCTTTGTTTGGTTCGGCACGTTTTAGCTTTTATGAAATCAGGCAGTAGATTGAATAAAACGGTTAAGTTTTGTTAAATAAATGCCCCACTAACCTGAGGATGGTCAAATGAAGGATTTTTTTTTTTGTGGAAAACTCTGTCTGATTTTTGTTCTATTTATTTTCTCTGTGCAGAAAATATATTAGAAGCTCCATTTCGCTCCAAACCGTATTAGCTTAGTGAGGTAATTTAACATCATATGGCCTGCTCCTGCTTTCATTAATGTGAATACTCTTGAGGCAAAAGGACCCTTTATCCCAAAAAAAAAAAAAAAAAAGGTAAACACTGCTCGGTCATAAATGACTTTGAGAGCAGAAAGCTGTGAACACTGGATGTGATCCTTGTGTTTGACTTTGGAAGAGAGTTTAGCACATTTTCTTTGTTATGCATGACTCATCTTTGCTCACTATTTGGGGGGCCACTAGGTGCCGCTTTAGGAGTGGTAAAAATAGCGGTTTCCACAGTAACGCTGTACACAAAGCAGCACTGTGCTCACAAACGCTGCTTTATCAGGCATTACAGGCATGATGAAATAAAAATGAGACCAGTCGACCAATCACCACAGATTAGCGTCACGCAAAGGAGGGGCTTGGAAAAATTAATCATTGAGCGAATCGTTTGGGAGTCATTGAGTAAGGTAGACAATAAATGCATATTAAGACAATGAAAGTGTTTTTTGACCTTGCATGCATGTCAACCTGTTGTTGGGGACTACCAAAACCAAAATATAAACCTTTCATAACCCATAATAGGGGCACTTTAATTCACATTTTTTTATTTTGTTTAAATAAAATTTAAATTCATGTTTTTAAAATCAAATAAAGTAAAATCCTAAAATATGGCCCTACATTTTTTTTTAAGCAAAATAATTTTTCTTTTATTCTTTTGATATCAGTGTGAAATATGACAGGTTTTGTGAAATCATTCTAGTGTAGGTTCCTTGTGTACGGAAGAGATCCGATCAATAACATCTGGTTGCAGATGATATCAATCATTTCAAAGCATCTGTTATTTCACAGCGCAGAGCCACTCTTTTCCTCAGAGGCAATATTCTGTGCGTAAAGGAGCTGTTTATGGTTCTGAGACCCACTCAAACTGTCTGGTTTGTTCATCTTGTAAGCATGCAAACAGTCTCTCTCAGTCTCCCTGTGGAGCCCAAACACCAAAACAATTTCAGCTTTGTTCACAAACATCATGAAAGAATGGTGTTTATCTGAATTTCTGGATTAAGTAGCCTAATCTGATTATTGATTTCACTTGACTGATAAACTCAAACTTTTTCTAGTCCAATAAATATGAACATGAACATGGTAATTTTCTGTATAGATATTTGAAACGATTGTGAAAAGCACAATGCAAATAAATGTGAATTAAATTGAACTAACAATGAATTGTATTTTTACATTCATCAACTTTGACAGATATTAATACTGTAACAAATGTATTGTTCGTTGTTAATGTAAGTTAATGCATTAACTCTTATATAATATTTATATACAATTTGATATAACCATATTATATAGTTGTTTTAAACTATTAATATTTGTTAAATGTTCTTTTTTTTTTTAAAAAAGGAAATTATCACAGAGAATATCCAGTAGACCATCACAACAACTGTTTACTTAACATTTGACATTTACTTGTTTTAAAATGTTTGACTATTTTTTTTTTCTTCCCAGGTAACGTATGAAACAAACATGAATCCAAAGTTTACGTTTCCAAGACAATGACAATGGATTTTTAATTGCCTTTTTCGTCACCTTTCAGACTCCATATGAGACTAGGAGAAGATTACCCTTCATACCAGGTGTGTTAAGGAAGTTACATTCTAGTCCTGGTGAAGACACATTACTCTGCAGTCCCAGACTCTGTGCTGACAGCAGCACAAATTGATTCCACGAGGTTTGCAGAACCAGCCACAAAAGCATCTGTCTCCCTCCTTGCCACCGCTCTTCTCTGATGGGCCGCAGATTCGGCCCCTACCTTCAGCATACGGTGCTCTCCTGGCATAACGCCAGCTGGCCACTCAGGGGAGGACAGCGGTGGTCATCTGTCAGTGCCAGTCTGTCAGCAAATAGCGGGTGATGGATGGAGCCTTGTGCTCGTCAATAAAACCCACTTTGAAATGATTGCAGAGCTGTGCAGAGACCAGGCCCTCCCGCTGAAGCGCAGCGGGGTCTGGCCTTCACCCTCCGTCTCCAAGCGTTGCCTTGTTGGACTCAGAGGGGTAGATTGAGGTAAATTTGGCTTTTATGCTGAGGAATAGTAGGTTTATGTATTGTTTACGACGGGAAGATGACATCATTCATTCTGAGCTTGGAAAAACATCTCAGAACACACATAGTTCACCCAAAAATGAATGCTGTCATCATTTACTCACCCTAATGTCATTCCAAACACAAATGCAAAACTTTTTAATGGATAGTTCTTAGAAATGGACTTGAATTGGTCACTCGACCAAATGGGGACTGGAGCTTTCAAACTTCAAAAAGGATGCAAAAGCATCATAAAAATGGTTCATACTACTTCTGGAGCTGCATACTAGCTCTGTATTGACCAAAAGTCAGATCTTTTCAATAAATAGTTTGATCCAGTTCTCAAAACTTGAAAATGATTCATTCACAAACTGGACTGATCTGATTGCATTCAACTCAATGATTTTGACACAGTGGCGCTGGAGGTTAATATTTTCACTGAATTACAGTTTAAAGTGTATTCTTTCTTGCAGAAAGACTGGGAATATAGCACATGAGTTGAATGGACTACGTTTAAGACACTTTTCTTATGAATTTGTGCAATACTTGAAACTTGAAAGCTTGGGTTCCCATTCACTGTAACTGCATGGACAAGAGCAGCCTATAGTGTGATTAAAATACTTTTTGTGTTCCCGAGAAGAAAGTAAGTCAGACTGGTTTGAAACGACATGAGGGTGAATAGATAATGACAGAATTTCCGTTTTTGGGTGAACTATTCCTTTGACTGAATGGAGCAACAACAGCAAACTAGAATTATTGATCATCTGAACACCCATTTAAAAAAGAAAAAGTTCCTATTGACTCTCACTCTTTTAAAACTCTAGACTGTCTTTAACAATGAGAGAGACTTGCAGTGAATAAACTCCCCACGCTCACTGGGTAAATCTTGTATAGTGATGCCAACTTCAATATTTATGCCATCAGGTCTTGAGTGAAAAGGGCAAACAGTGTATCATGTCAAAGACTAACATCCATTTTTCTCTCTGAGGAGGGATTGTGTGACGGGAAAACGGTGTGTGTGTGTTGTCAGCATTTAGGTCCAATTTCCCTCAGCCTGCCAAACAAATCCCTCCACATACAAATGGGAGTGTATGATAGCCAACCTGACATTGGATTGAAAAACATGACAATTTGAAAACGCGTACCTTTCACTCTGCGAGAGACAGCGGGGTGACCTAGATTGATGTAGTGTGGGAGTAGTTGGGAAAGGACGAAACGGCTCAAGTTAGACCGGGTTGGCATCAAGGTTTATTATCTTTTACAATGTACAATATACAAAAATATAGAGTACCAAAAATTCACAGTGTCTAAAAGGCAGTGATTACAGTCTACATCGCATATCTAACCACCAGGTCAGTTGCATAGAAGGGCACCAAGCCTTGCAGGGATGGAGCGCCTCACTGCGTCGTCCGGCTTTATGCGTGTTCAATAGCAGAGATACTCCTTTCAAAACCCGACTTACACGGAGCAGCCGCACTTGACCAACATATATTATCTGGGCAGGCAAACGGGAGCAAATGTGGGGATTTTAGTTTGACCTTTAACTTTGAATATGAGCTTAGAGTTTTGCCTATTCTTGGATTTCCTTTCATGAGTCCAAAAGCCTTTGAAAAACATTTCAAATCTGGGATTTACTTCAGGTAAAATTGGAAATAATGTTTTCTGATTAAAAAAAAAAAGAAAGTAAAAATACAGAAAAAAAATTCAATTAAACTTTTCACGCAAAATATGCTGATAATATAATCTGCAATTTAAAAAGATATTAATACCATTTTCTGGACTTTAGATTTTTTTCAGTGAAAAGGGCTTTGTATGTGAGCATATCTTTAATATAATTTGCAATAAAAATGTAATTAATAAAAATTCAAAATAGGAACATTTTCAGTAATGCTCTCAGATTTTTGGACTCTTCGGTAGATTTGTTTGTTTTTTTCAATGAAAAGGCTCAGTATGCAAGCATCTTGAAGATAAAAAAAATCCCCATTAAATAATTTGAACAGGATCCAACAGCATCAAAACAATTAAAGACTGTATTTGAGTATGATATTGAAGCAACGTAATTCATGTTAATTTTGTGAACCTTGTCATGAATGGCAAAAATCAATTCATATGAATTATGAACAGATGAATAAAAGTACAAACACTCTAATAGTTTTGTAGGGACTCTAATTAATAATCGTTGAAGTTATCGATCAGGGTCGGTCCACAAGATGGTCTCTCTCTTGCAGTCAATCTCTGGACACTGACAGGCTCCATCCCCACACAATCCCTACGGTTGGTATATTTACACAGCTGCTGCACATATTATTTTACAACTATAAGGCGTTTAAAAAACAGTGTTAGCTTTACAATATACGTGTACATTATACTAACCTTTGCGTGGCATTACTTTTTTCCGCTGTGGGACATCACTTATTTACAACCCATGTACTCATGCTTAGCTGAAAGCATGGCTGGCTTAGCATTCATTAAACGAGCATGATAAAATAGTTTAGTTTAGTTTTCAATGCCCTTTAGAAACCAAGCAATACCATAAATACTATATCCCGACGAGAGTTGCCGTTCCTGAATCGCTTTTATCGATAACTGTTGAGTTGATTCTGGAATGTGGGCGTGATGCCGCTGGGAAGCATGTCAACACATGGGCAAAATAAAATCTGAGTTGAGCACATAGTGCTGCACAAAGATTCATTTTTTAGATATTGTTCGATGTGACAAAGACAGTGATCCATTGATCATTTCTGTGTTGTTGACTCTCTAGGCAATTTCATGAATATATGATGCTCATATAACGGTGTACACCTTCGTTCGTATCTCTGATGAATGTGATGGTGGTTAGGAATATACCATCTGGAAACAATAATAAAAAATAATATATGAAATGTTCAGTATAACTCCATCAATGTTTGAACTCATATCTTAAATAAACTCTATAGTCCATCTATCCTACAACTGCTGAATAATTCCCTCTTTAAAATAATCGTATAAAACAAGTGCCAAGCTATCAGTATTTCCTACATTTTTTTCATAATAAAATATAGTCCGTCTCAGTTTGAACCCAGTCATATTTAATATGACCACCGGGACTTACAGTAAGAGAGTAGAACATGTTTGCTTCAGATCTAAGCATATTCCATGTTGGTGCAATATTCCTCGATTCCCATGCATTCGCAAGAAGGAAAGGCGTTTCGACTTTTCAGGGAAATAATGACGCATTCTTCTGGCCTTTTAACGTGATAAAAAATCTATATTTCGGTTCTGATAAGAGTCCGTTCTGAATAGCATCCTATTTTAAGCTGTTCTTTTTTCTGCAGCTTGCTTCCGAACTCGTATCTGAAGAGTTCACCCAGGAGATGCATTGATCCTGCAACCCATCCTCTTTTGTCAGAGATTTGCCCGTCAAAGGTCGGAAGTCAGTGGGATGTCCTTACATTTGCATCCAAAGGTAACAATTCCGCCATTCTAACCAAACCTAATAATGTCACCATTGATTGCTCTCTTTTGTCTGGTGTCCGCCTATTCTTCTTCTGTAGTTTCAAAAAGAACTGCCACAGTGCGGCAGATTGCATTTCCTGTAATGGATATTGTTGGAGTGGTACGGAATGCCAGAACAATTTTGTCTTCCCACCTTGAGCTTCAGCAAAACCTCTTTCCAGTAACGGGAGTTCTGCAGCGATCAATCGAGACATCAGTTTATCAAAGTCAGTGTAGCTACACAATCTTTAAAAAGTGCTGTTTGAATCACTGGACTTTTCCCCCGTCGGACACCGTAAGGCGTGACTTAGGTGACACGGTCCTCGGGGGAGAGATCTTAGGGGAAAAATTGGCTGGAATGTTGGAATAAGCACCTCATCGGGTGCAGAGTGTGTGGGTGGTGGAAGTGGAGGCGTTTAGGAGATGGCGATAAAGCTACGGATGGGACACGTGTCTCAGCTGTGGTTATAGGTTCTGCAAGGAGACGGCGAGGAGTCTGGTCGGTAGTCATATTTGCCCAGAGCTGTAGGGTAGTATGTGGTGGTGTACACGTTCGTCTGCTGAAGCGGTGAAGGGAAGTAGTTGGTCCTCTCATCCGGCAGCAAATTGTTCTTATTCAGAGTCTGTGGAGAAAAACAAATAAAGGAGTGTTAGATGAGCTGAGAGGCAAACCACTATCCATCAGTCTGCAAACCTCTTGAGCAAACCTCTTGAGACCTTGAGAACTAAAAAGAACAGAATATGAGAATGCTGAAAGCACACGGCAAGATCTCACACCTTCAGGAAACACTTCAGCTTAACACATGTAAACGCTTATCCAGCTAGTTCCTTGAAGGTACAGGGTGTAATATCTGCACCACTAGCATATTTGAGCAGCTGTACACCACTAGCATGTTTGAGAAAATATTGGGTGTAATATCTGCACCACTAGCACATTTGAGCAAATATTGTCTCGACTCTTGACCAATGGCATGAGTTTGCAGATCGCAGAGTCTTATAATGAAGGAGAGACCAGAGCCACATCTAAGGACCAGAATATCATAGACCTTCGAATGGGGTCTTTTGACTTGAACAACATAGCGACTGCAAAACCACTCAGAATACTCTAGCAACATGCTTAAAACAACTGAAGAACGACCTAATGAGCTAAATGTGCTAAAAATCACTCAGAATACTGTAGAAACTACACAGCAACATGTTAAAACAACTTAAAACTCCCCAGCAACTGCATAGCAACATTTAAAAAAAAAACAACCAGAACACTTTAGCAACCACACAGCAAGATGCTAAAAATCATTGAATAACACACTAACCACATGCTGTAACTCTGTAAAAACCTCAATAGTGATGTTAAAACCACTTAGAACTTTCCAGCAACTGCAACGTGGTAAAAACCATACAAACCACCCAAGCATGGCAACATGCTAAAGAACACCATCAATGACAGCAACCACACTGCAACATTTTAAAAACCATTTAGAGCACCCTAGCCACCACATAGCAACATGCTAAAACCACTGAAGAACATCCTATCACTCAGAACACTCTAGAAACTGTATGGCAAAATGTTAAAACAACATACAACTCCTCAGCAACTGGCTAGCAACATGTAACAGCACACTCCACAGCAGTGTGTTAAAAACAACCCAGAACATACCAGCAGCTGCATAGCAATCACAAAGCAACATGCTAATTGCTAAATCCTAGCAACCTTACAATTATGTTTAAAAAAAACACTCAGAACGCTGCATAGCAACATGTAAAAAAAACATGGTTATTATTATTGTGGTTAAACCACAAATTAACCATGGCTTTGCTACACTAACCATAGTTTAACTATGGTACTTATAGTAAAACTGTGGTTAGTATGGAAGATGATTAGGGCCAAGCAATAATAAAAATAATAAAACCATCTTGTGATTTAAAGTCATTAAATTCTATGAAAAAACTTGTTAAATTACCAGAAAAAAGTTGTTAAATTTCGAGAAAAAGCTATTTAAATTTGTACAGATTCCAGAGGTGATTTAAACTAGTTTAAAGGCAGATGAAACAGCGCTGCCATTCTCAACAACGCTGACGCGGAAAACAGGAGAAACACTGTGCAACAACAATCCAGTTAGAATACTTTTCAATCCACAAATTAATATTTACAATGGATTTACTGTAGTAACACTAAACCTACGCAATTCATACATTATTATTAAACACGCGTTAGGCAATTGATTTCCTCTTTTCCAATGTGATATGTGATGAGAAAAGGAAGAAAAGTGAGTTCGGCAAAAGATGGTTTCGAACCCTCGTCGACCACATCATATGCTACAACCATGTGCATTATTGTCCAACCTTCGCCACTGCAGACACTGTTTGAAAACATCCAACGAGATGAAATGAACCTGACATGAGTGTATTTATATTCTCTGCATTTTAATTCGGCTTGTACTTGAAATTTAACACTTTTTTTCTCGAAACTGAACAAGTTTTTTCTCATAATTTAACAATTTTTTTCTTGAAATTTTATGACTTTTTTCTCGTAATTTAACGAGTTTATTCTCAACATTTTATTTTGACTTTTTTTCTCGAAATTTAATGACTTTAAACTTGTGATGGTTTTATTTTTTATTATTGCTTGGCCCTAATCCTCTTCTGTAAAGAGGAAAAAAAAAAGCCAAAAAAAAACAAAAACACAGGGTTACTACACTTTTACTATAATAAAACCATGGTCAATTTTCCTAATGGTCAGAAATACCACAGCAACCACAAAGCAACAAATACATTCTGATCACCCTAGCAACCTTATAGCAACACGTAAAAACACGCAGAACACCCTAGCAAAATGCTAACATTTTCTCAAAACACTGTAGAAATCGCATATCAACATGTTAAAACCACTTAGAACTCCACAGCAACCACACAGCGACATTTTAATCATCTTTCAGAGAACCCTAGCAACTGTACAGCAACCCTATCGCCACAATAGGATAAACTCGAGAAATCAGGTTATTTTTGCGATTCTGTTTGGTGGTACTAGTGAAGCAGAAATGACACACTGCACCTTTAAATATGTAAGGCACTTCTGAATGGAGTCCAAGTGGTGAACTCAGGGGTCATGGATGAAAGTAGCGTGTGTGTATGAAATGTAGAGCTCTCGAGAAATATCATTTGTCGAGCTCTAAAAAAGCTGCAGCTCAGTTACTGTGGGAGTGAAGCTATGAAACATACAAGATTGATTTGAGTGACTCACCGTAGCCGAGAACTGCTGTGCAACAATTATAGTTTTCAATACCTGGCAAACAATAGCTGTATAAAGAGGCTGAGATCTCCATTTTCAGTCTGAACAAGACAGATGAAATTACGTTTTTATCCAAGAGTCAATGAGTGACAAGCGAAGGGAATGTTTGCTGCTATTACGATACCAAATGACATCTTCCTGACTGTGGTATCTTTAGCAGGCTTTCGACAAACCCTTCCCTGTGCGAAATCGGAATATTCATCCTGATTTACGACGTGGCTCTCAACGGATGCTTATTCAAACACCCATCAATCAGAGAGCCTCCATGTCACACGGTTAATATCACACAGCCATCTGCGCACCGGCGTGCCCTGGGAATGCGTGGACAGAGGCCCGAGTGACTGCCTTTTGCAATGGCCGCTTCTTTCTCGATCCACTCGTATTGGCCAAGTCTCATAATGAGTTTCGAGTGAGTAGTGGTCATGCAGAAGATCGATGGAAAAAGTGGCAAAAGGCTCGCACAGGTGTCACAGCAAGGACACGAGGTGGAGGGAGAGCAAGCCGAGCCAAACTAATTGGATGAGCTCGACGATCAGTCACAACCAGCTGTGGGAGTCCACCAAGCGGCTGCTGCTTAAACAGCCTAATGAAGCCCATTAATAAAGACGGAGTGTGTGCCAGGAACCGCGTGCAGCCAGAAGAGGCGGCTAAACAAGCGGCCGTGGGGAGAGTGAAACCAGCAGTAATCTCCAAACTATCAGTTATCTAGTGATGCTCATTTCAGACAAAACAAACGAGCGTGCTCTACGATATAGAGTCGGTTACTTGGCTGCTCGCAACTTTTCCTGATAGCTCATCTGTGGGTAAAAATGTAAAAGTAAAATGTCATTTTCTGACGCTGAAATACATCTTAATATGCAGAGAGTATATAAAAGGCATTTGTGGTCGCATTCCCATGAAAACGGTAAACGCTGTGTCTCTGTGGTGCTATCGAAACATTGATCTGTTTGATCACATCTGTGAAAGAGATTTGAATATGGTAAAATGTGTAAAACGGATATGTTAAACACACTTTTATGCAGCTGAGAAGATTCTGAAAGTTGCCAAAATACATAAATACAAACAGGATCTGCAATCTGCCAAAGCCCACTGAGCTTTATGTGGAATTCTAAGGCCACAGATTCCAAGTCGGCATTCATTAGAAACTTATCTTCAGGCTCACACAAAATCTGAACAGATCTCTGCAGAATTACAATGACCGCTATTTCCAAGAGGTCTACAAATCCTTGCCTTTTGAGTGTTCATTAAAATATATTTCTAAATTTGATTATGCATTCAGTATCAATGAGAGTGCAGTATTATTGTAGCACATTTTAGCATGTTTTTTTCAGGATTCTTTGATGAATAAAAAGTTTGAGAACAGCATTTATTTGAAAAATAAAGCTTTTGTGACATTATAATGGCTGCAAAGTGCATTTGGGATACGCCAGGCCAATACTGACAAGAAATAGTCTTTATCCCTCCATCTTAACTTTAGCAACTACATTGCAAACTACTTTAATTCATTGTATATCTGAATTTTGCACTATGAAGTAGGGATGCACCGAAATGCTGAAAATTATCCGCTGAAAATTAAATTTTTTTTTTTTACAGCTGAAAATGTATGGCGTGCTGCACCACCCAGCAGTGTTAAGTGGTTTTGCAGGTTTAGTCACTGCGCGGTGTGACGCTCCACTCAATATTCTGTTCTATGAATGTGCGTTCCATTGAGTTGCTCAAGGCCCATGCAAACGATCCACAAAAAAGTGTGGTTATTTTATTGGCTTGTATTTTTTAAATTCAGTATCATTAAAATTATTAGTTAAGAGTTAAATTAAAATGTCTTACAAAATTATTTTATATTATTTAATAAAAATAATGAATAATTATTAAAAAGCATTTTCCGTTTCAGTTTTCGGTCAAGTGCATCCAGAAATTTCTGTTTCCATTTCAGCCCAGAATTTACATTTCTGTGCATCCCTAAATAAATGTGTGCATGATTTTAGAACTTCTATATGACTTTGCACCTCATCACAATTTCTGAAATGAAAACATCACCAACTAAACAAAACAAAAAATCCCACTCATTCAAGAGAGTCTTCTTCATGATCAACAACAACATGCTAAGCCCTTTTCACTGCATAAAAAGCATTATGAGAATGATTTTCTTCAACACTGACCTTAAACTCCATGGGTGTGTATTTCTCATTCTTTGGTGTGGTGTTGCCCTTGTAGTTGAGGTGGTTGGGAGTGGTGGGATGGATGACGGCAGACTCCTGCGAGGGCTTATGGAACCGCTGACAGTACACATACACCAGGAAGGACAGCAGACCGGCACCCAGGAAGCATGACACACCTGTAGCTATCAGGTGAAGCAGAGTGAACCCTGGGAAAACAAGAGAAGGCAATATTACCGTAACCATTTGTCTGCAAATAACTGTAATATGTTGGCATTTTCATCCAGACCTTTGACTAAATATGCTTTTTCAAATAATGAGACAATATAGTCATCCTTGTCAGTGGATTCGGAGCGATACGGCACCATTGCATCCCTCATCATTAACGCTACATGTCCGTAGCCATCAACCAGCGGTAGGCAGGTGCTTCAAAGCGTCTGGCTGAATGATGCAGTACCGAGGGACAGTGCTGTGATTAGCCGGTCGATGTGACGGACCGGGCATCCTGCTGGTCTGACCCGTAATGAGTGCGAAATGTGATTGAGGAGAGCGAACGCCATACCCCGCCATGAACTGCTCTAATTGGACAACGATCACTCAGGAGAGCAGCACTGCTGGAGCATGATGGGTAATATGTGCTGCCACCTGGAGAAACCCCAAATTGGCACTGCAGTGCCAACTCTGAGGGCAGCCATTGCCCGATGTGGCCTGGATCCGCAACCTAAAAAGCACCGCTGTGCCCCCTCATGTATTTTTCATCTGGTGCATGCACTGGAAAGGCAGCACCTCCGCATGTGGGAGAGCCACAAGAGCCGTGGAACACGACACATGGAAAACTGAAGATCAGCAGTGTGAATTATGACGTTCACTCACTTAAACTTGCTTAGCGATTCCATTTCTGCCTGAGTTCGGGATGAAAAGGAGCTGACATGAAACATAACACACAAGCAGCACATTGCTACATGTCTTTGAGCATTCACGAGAGCGTGCATGCATAAGCGCATACTAACATGCGGTGAACACCATACAAACATATCGGTTTATACAAAGCACTTACCCCCACACTGCTGGTCCTTCTCATAGCTAGATGCCGGGAGAATGGCTGTGTAGAGAAAGAGATGTATAGTTAGTGGCTGTTCACACAGGATGAGCTCTTGCAAGGGTCTTGAGCTCTTTCTAAACGTCTTGAACTGATGCCAAACATCTTTCAAATTGACAAGGCATCTTAAAAACACAACGATTGTGGTTCGAGATGCATCGGAACAGTCACAGACATCCATCTAGAGCAGTAGCTGTCAAGTAGTTTTGCTTCAAAATCGAAATTCGTGTAGCTCAACCAGTAGAGCATGTCTGCAGCAATGCCAGTGTCATAGGTTTGCTTTCCTGGGACCACATGAACGTATACCCAGAATGCAATGCAAGTCTTTTTGGATAAAATGGTCAAAATTGTCCCTAGTAAAAAAGTATATTTAAAATACTTTTATTTCATACTAAGTATAGTAAAATTATATATATATATATAACACAAAAGTAAAGAAAAATGGTCAAATATTGAAAACTGTCAATATTCCATGAAATGCATAGGCCCAACAATATGCAAAATTATTCATATCTTTATAAAATGGATGTGCAGCCTTGATGTCAACATCAAAAGACACAAAACATCCTTTTAAAAGCTAATAAGCTTATTTTGCTATTGTAACTATGCATGGTTAGTCACATTTTATTTTATTAATGCATTTAGTGCGCCTTTTTTGTCTGTTCTGTTGCTCCGTTTGGGTTGCGACCAACAATTTTGGGTTGCGACCAACAATCTAACCATAAACCAACAATTTAAAAATGAAGCAGGCTGGTGCAAGAAAAAGTCCTGTGAGCAGGTCATTACACGCTCTCTTGTTTTGCCTCCCTTTGCTGAATTACAGCCAAAATGTCAATCATTCCCCATCTTATCCCACTCTACTTTCTCCTTTCAAAAGCAACCTTCCTGGAAGTGGGGCGATTCAAAGAGCTGTAGATCTGAGTGGTGAGGAAGTCTCCTGTTTTATACCTGAGGGATGAGCAGGTCTGCAGTGATAAAGTACAGGAAATCACATCAAAGCCTATCAGTCGGGTCGCATGAAAGTGATGAAATTATTAGGCGTTCCATTACGCATAACGTTATTCAAATATTGCATGTATTTGAGAATGAACAGCCAATGTCAGTAAAAACCGTTGCAAGCTATTTTGCAAAATAAAACTTTAAATGCTCATTTAGAGTAAATATTCCCATTTTGGTTGAAGTAATGAGCTGCACTTCGATGGAAATGCCATTTTTCACTGCTGCGATAGAGTCTGAGGGCCGCCTTAACAAAGTCTCGGAGTTCGCCGGCTACCCAATGCCGTGGGTGGATGAGCTCCTGGATCGCCTGGGAAGGGCCCGGTACATCTCTACACTTGACCTCACAAAAGGGCACTGGCAGGTGCCCCTCTCCGAAACTGCCAAACCCAAAACCGCCTTCAGCAAAACCCTTCGGGCTGCACGGGGCTCCCGCCACGTTCCAGCGCATGATGGACATCTTGCTGCGGCCCCACCAGTCCTACGCAGCGGCGTATCTGGATGACGTGGTAACCCACTCCGAGCGTTGGGAAGACCACCTAGACCGTCTGCGGAGGGTGCTGATGGAGCTACGCAGGGCTGGGCTCACCGCCAACCCCCGCAAATGTCACCTGGGCCTGTTTGAGGCAAAGTACCTGGGCTTCCAGGGTGAATATGTGTGTGTGTGTGTGTGTGTGTGTGTGTGTGTTTATATATAGCTCTCTCTCACCTGGGATCTCATTGCAGTCTCGGTGCTGGGAGCTGTTTCCCACACATGGTGTGGATTGAGCCCCGCACACTCGACTGCGCAGCTGCAGGCCCGAGTCATCGCACTCAGACCACACTGACCAGGCCATCCACCCACCTGCACAAAGACACGGGCATAAACACAGGATTTAAAGAAACAGTTCATCTAAAAATGAACATTCTTGTCATCATTTACTCACACTCATTCCAAAACCTGTGTGACTTTCCTCTGTCAAGCACCAAAATTATATATATATATATATATATATATATATATATGCACGAGAAGCGTGGGAGCAACAGCCCGCACCCCACCGCTCTGTGATCGAACATGTGAAAGAAATGAGGGAACGAATCGACCGGGTCATGCCGTTAGTCCGGGAGCACCTCACCAAGGCTCAGCAGGCGCAGCAGCGACATTACAACCGAGCCGCCCAGCCTCGAGAATACCAGCCGGGGGGACAGAGTGATGGTCCTTGTCCCCAATTCGGCCTGCAAGTTCCTGGCCAGCTGGCAAGGCCCGTATACCGTCACGGAGAAAATCGGTCCCGTCACTTACCGTATCCGCCAGCCGGGACGGCGGAAGGCAGATCAGCTATATCAAATTAACCTGCTGAAGAAATGGGTGGGGACAAGGGACCAGCTCGCCGCCCTCGCCACAATTGAACCATCTAACAGCCCTTGGTCCAGCCCTATCGTTATGGTACCAAAACCAGATGGCACCCTCCGCTTCTGCAATGATTTCCGCCGCCTTAACGAAGTCTCGGAGTTCGACAGCTACCCCATGCCGTGGGTGGATGAGCTCCTGGATCGCCTGGGAAGCCCAAAACAGCCTTCAGCACCCTCAGTGGACACTGGCAATACCGGACCCTTCCCTTTGGGCTGCACGGGGCTCCCGCCACGTTCCAGCGCATGATGGACATCTTGCTGCGGCCCCACCAGTCCTACGCAGCGGCGTATCTGGATGACGTGGTAATCCACTCCGAGCATTGGGAAGACCACCTAGACCGTCTGCGGAGGGTGCTGATGGAGCCACGCAGGGCTGGGTTCACCGCCAACCCCCGCAAATGTCACCTGGGCCTGTTTGAGGCAAAGTACCTCGGCTTCCAGGTCGGACGGGGCCTAGTCAAGCCCCAGGAAAAAAAAGTGGAAGCAGTCCGGTCCTCCCCGAAACCCAGCACGAAGTCCCAGGTACGAGCCTTCTTGGGGTTGGCGGGGTACTATCGCTGTTTCATCCCTAACTTCTCCTCCTTAGTCGCCCCCCTGACAGACCTGACCAGGAAGGGGCAGCCAGAGAAGGTGTGCAGGACACCCGAGGCGGAGGAGGCCTTCCGGAAGGTAAAGACAGCGCTCACCTCGGAGCCAGTTCTGCGAGCCCTACGCCAGGGTGACGCGGTGGTTCCTTGCGCTCCAGGACTTCCACTTCCTAGTGCAACATCGGGCCGGAGTTAGCCCTTAAGTCCCCATTTATAGAAATTGCATAGAAAATAGAAATCAGAAAATTATTTAAAATTGTTGGTGCAAAGAATGAAAGAAAATCATAGGTTTGGAACAACTTAACAGTGAGTAAATGACGAGAACATTTTTTGGGTGAACTCTCGCTTTAAATGGAGCGTTCCAATTTTGTCCATCCTCACAGTTCAGAGGCAATCTAACCAGAGCGCTGCCGACTCAACGGCCCACCCACGCACATGAAACAAACACCGCCAGAGTCACACGAGGAGGCAAAAATAATCACAGTCTGAGGCAACACTTTCACAGCAAGTGTACCAAGAAATTTACTTAGAAGAATCTTTGATTTAAAATGTATTTGTTTGCTGGGAAAATCCAATCTGTAAATAGACACATTCCTTTCATGTTACAGCTTTTAAGATGCTTGTCTACACCATACACAGTCTTATAACTCTCCCAGAGCCTAACAAATTTGTCATTTATGAAGGGGGCCAACAGGGGCCAAATGTTTGAATCAAGGATCCAAAAGACTTTAAGATCAGTAGCAACTAGTCCCAGTCAATATCGTAGTATTTCAGAAAAAGCAGATCCACAGTTAACAATGATAAAAGGCAGCCCCGATAACTGCTACATCAATCTTCATTTATTGTCCTTAAGCAAACAATATGTCATGAAGTATTTTTAAAGCAGAATCTTACTGTAATGGAACCTTATAAGTGACCAATATGGGATGTTTTACATTCTGAGTTTAGGGACTTGATTTATAATTAAACACATGATCTTTCATCAAAAGCATGAATTTGAGGTGTTAATCAGGGAGTCAACGGTAATACAAAGGTAGTATAGCATTTGTTAAAGCTACAGGGCTTTACATGATCCAATCTTCATAAATATTTAAGTTTTGTCTTAAAGAGACAGCTGGCCATTTTGAAAAAAGGGACATTTTTAAAGTGATGGCAGCAGTATGTGACAACAGAGCTTTGTGCTGCCACAGTCTGGTTGCACACAGCACACTTCTATATGCATGCAGCTCACACATGGCACCATCTGTAGCCTGGAGGACCCCAGAAGCCCCTCTCAGAATCTGAAGAATGTGTTACTGGTGATTGAAAGGTCTGAAATCATTCCTTCAATGCAATGATAATCAGTTGGTCATAAACTATACCATTAAAAAGACCAGCATATGCTGTGCTGTGGATGCTGGTGTGCTCACATGGCTTCTTAAAGGGATAGTTCACCTGAAAAGTTTAAATTCGGTCATCATTTTTGAACCCACTATCACTGACTTTCTGCAGAACACAAAAGAAAATATTTCACTCTATGGAGACAAATGCTGAGACATTTCAAAAGTGAGGGAGAAAATTATGCCAGAATTGTCATTTGTTGAGTGAATTATCCATTTAAATAGCACAATTCAACCAGCACAATTTCCTCGGTTGACCATCCTCATCAGTTATGTTTTGCTGGTGAATACAATCCCAATGCTGATCAACCATGCTAATCTTAGCTGAACTTTTCAGCAGGGTTGAAACTTTTGGAGGAAGCTTATACGTTTCAATAAAAAGTCACAATTACCTTTTGTATTTTAAGAAAAAAATATATAAAAAGCAATTGTTATTTTTTTCTTGCAATTCTTTTTTTCTTGCAATTCTGAGATTATATCTTACAATTCACGTTTTCTGAGAAAATTCTGAGAAAAGAATTGCAAGATATAAACAAAGATAAGTTAGAATTGTGAGATATAAACTCATAATTACGAGAAAAAAACTCATAACAGTGAGATAAAAAGTCGTAATTACCTTTTAATTAAACAAACAAAATAATTAAACAGGAAAACGTAATTAAAAATAATTCTGAGTAAATTTTATATATTTTAAATATAAGATATAAACTCTCAATTTCTGAGAAAAAAGTCAGAATTGTGAGACATAGACTTAGACAAAAAAAATTAAAACAAACAAAAAAAACAATTACCTTTTATATTTTTATCCCATGGCGAAAATAAGCCTCCATAGAACTGTATATTTTTAAATGGTGATAATAATGGGTGTTGATGGACAGATGACACATTGAAAACCAAATGTATCTTGTGCTTACAGAGTTAGAGCTCAATTTGGAGAGCCTTGATTTTTTTTGTAGCACATTTCACTTAAAGCTTTTTTTTTATCCCATTTGTGGTTCTGGATTGGAACTGATCTTACCATCACAGGTGTGCGTGTTGCAAAGAGCCTCCTCTGTGTGCAAGCCGATGCAGATGTCCCCTCCATTGGCAGAGGCAGGGCTGGTGCATGTGCGCGTTCGTTGATAGTGCCCACCTCCACAGGGCACCGAACACTGCGACCATGATGACCAGCAAGACCAGGCGCCGTTAACTGCACAGACCAAACACATACAAACAAATACAACATACAAAGACAAACACAAAACAATCAGGCAAGGAGGGGGACACAATCATCCAAGCATCAGATAAGCGGACGCAAATGCAGCGCAAACAAGAAAGACGGAGCGGAGGATGCAAACACAATGTACCGAACACAAACATAAAAAAGCATCAATCAAACAGGCAAACACAAAACAATCCAAAAAAACCGACATGATTGGAAATTCCCACAAGGCGGACAAGGCAAGCAGACATCTGTTATGGGATGTGATGGTGATCCGGACATTCAAAGTTCAGGGCAGAATGGAGGTTCAAACAGCTTTATTTGACCCACAAAGCTCCTCACCAAACACTTGAGACTTCTTGTTACAATGAACACCAGCTGTTCACCTCCATTTCATTGTTTATCCTGTTGGAAAATCTAGATTAAGGTGGTGACTGATATCTAGCTGGTCCAAGCTGGTCACCATAAACCAGCTTGACCACCGAAAGCTGGTATAACCAACTTGTTTGTAGATGATCTACCAGCTAGAAACCAGCCATCATGTTCCAAATCACAGCTACCACCATAAACTAGATTTTCCAGCACTGACCAGGATAGAAGCACTGCTGTTGTGCAGTTTTCTCTCACTTTAACAGGCCCTGCCACCATTCTCTTGACGTCTCATCAGACTGATGGAGGAGAAGGTTAGGGGTGGCTCCTTCTTTCTGCACTAGAAAGCACTGTTTAACTTCAGTGGATTAGCATGTGTGTACTGGGGCACGACTGAAGTGTGAAGGCAGACCGATTGCAATCACAGTGAGTCCAGCAACCACACACACAGAGGGAGAAGCCGGTCACTGAATTGAAGTGCATGTCTGAGGTCAAAACAATGGTTTTTAAAATGGTTGCCTGATGTCAGTAATGTGTTTGAATCCATGTGCCCTACCCCCTTCCCTTCCGCTTTGTTATTTCAATCCTATTTTCCCTTTCTGCCTGAGTGGAAAACAGCATTGCAAATACTGTGGGTGCCGTTCATTTGTCACACTCAGAGAGAGTTTAGAGTGGACAATGCATTGGCAAGTAGCTGTCAATACGTCTAAAGAAACACACAAAACCATCTGTTCGGAACTTCCAGGGTGATTGGTCAGATAATTTGCACTGTGAAGGACCACAGGTGAAGTATTAGCACTTTCAACTGTTTGTTTGAGCCAAAGAAGACTGTTAAACCTGGAGAGAAATGTATTTTAGCACCTTTAAACTGTATATTAGCATGCCCAAATTGTCTGTTAGCACCCTAGAAATGTCTGTTAGCACCATTTAACTTTTCATGAGCATTCCTAAACCGTGTTAGCACTCTTGAACTGCATGTTAGCACCCTTAAACTGTTTGTTAGCATCCTTAAACTGTCTATTAGCATCCCTAAACATGCTAAGAATCTCATACTATATGCGATTGGTCAGATAATTTGCACTGTGAAGGATCACAAGGTGAAGTAGCACTTTCAAAACATGGCTCTGTTTGTTTGAGCCAAAGAGGACTGTTAAAACTGGAGAGAAATAAACATGCTAGCAATCGCATACTATAGCAATATGCTAAAACACTTTGAAAACATCTTAGCAACCCATGAGCAACTCCCTCTGTTCACCTACAGAAAATAAGCCACTTGGTGGCAGGCAAATTTGTCGCTCACATTTTCTTCTTTTAAATATAATTATCTAGCTATTTTATCAATTCAGTTTGATGCCATTTTATTGCACACTTAACCTTTAAAGTTTTGGTGCTAACTGGAAAATTTCATTTGATCTTGTGATTCAAGAGTTCATGTCTGTTTGGAATTATGGTGAAACCTCTTAATTTGACCACAGCAGGTCCCTACGGGGCTTCTGGTTTCCATTAGCTAATGAATTCAGTAATACACTTCACACGCTCTAATGGAAACAGAGGCTTTTCCAGCACGATGAGCAACTACCTTGATTATGAGCATATGTGGGAGTCTATTTATGTGTGTATTTGTGTGCACATATGTATATGTGCATTTGGAGTGTGCTTGTGTTTACATGCGTGTTTCTGAGCATGTGTGTTACCTGGACAGAGCTGAGGATTGCAGTCCTGATATTCTACTGGAGATCCCCGGCAGGCGGTGGGAATGCTTTTGCCCTCTGCGCTGGTGCAGGTGCGTTTGCGAGAGCGGTAGCCTTTGGCACACTCCTGAGTGCAAGCTGACCACATCTCCCACGATGACCAGCCAGAGCCTGTCAGTCGTACACCAGGCGTCTTGAGAAGCTCCTCAACGAGAGCTGTAAAACATATATTGCGTGTTCCCATTGAATGTTTTCCCAGCCTACTGATACTATGTTATGATGATACAGAATCCACCTGACTAATATAGTTATGTAAATTATTAGTTATCTTCACAGATATTGTTCTTGGTGTGAACAGTAATTTTATTTAAAGAGCACTGCAATTTTTGTAGGTCAAAACCAGGAGAAGAGCATTTAAGCACTTCCGGTTTTATCATCCAGAAGTCAATACATTTTTTGAATGGGCTTTGGGTTAAAAATCCTGAAATAAGGTTTGTGGTTAACCCAACGTCAAGATATTTTCACATTTATCCTACAACAAGATACACCTGTAATAACCTCTTGTGATATTTTTAAAGATTTTACTTGTCTTGAAATAGATGTTTGCTAACAAGTGCCTAAATGGGACTACAGAAGTTGTTGGGAACATTAAAAGTCATCACAGTGAACCAGAAATTACTCGACTCACTAGTCTAATTTTACAGCCTCATTGTATTTATAACTGCATAGTTTATAATGAACTATTCTAACTCAAATGTTTAGGGAAAATGCTTTGAAAATAAATACTGAAAGAGTTCTTTTTTTTTGGCACCTTAATGGGCTTCCATGGTATAGTTTGTTTATAGCTAATTTTTAGCTTTTCATTTCTGGCAATTGCATTTAGACTTCAGAATTGTTGTATTCATTCGTGAAGATTATCATGATGAACAAAATATTAAAGAAGCATAAACTTTTGTTTGCTTACAACGCTTATTTTTTGCAAGAATTAAAAAATCCAATGGAAAAAATCCTATTGGGTTTTTGTCGAGGGAACCAGGGTGATGCTAACTTCCGGGTTGGACTAATAAAGAATGCATCACTGCAGCACTTTCTGAGTGTGTTATTTTAAGGAGTGGCCTTTTTCTGTGTAATTCAAGGTTACTAAAAAAACTACCAATGTCATGCTGTGTTTTACAGCATCTCTGACAAAAAACATTCTGGTCACAGCAACCTGCACAAGGTGAATTCTGACACTCCCTTGCCTCTAATGCATTCCATGTGCACCTCAAGTGTTTGACCTCTCCCGATTTCAGACAGCAAGATTCAGTTAATCAATGTGGCGCCCGACATGCGCAAAGTGGGCAAGAGCTGAACTGTGACCCTGAACTGTCATCGAGCCAGCAGTATCGGCTAACTCAGTCAGATCTGTTCATTGTGTGGGTGTGCATTAGAAAAAAGGATCTAAACACTCACAGTCTGTATCACAGGTTACCGTCCCGTCATTGGGGCAGAAGCGTGTCTCTACTTTACGCTTGCCTAGTTGAAGCTCATGAGGGTCAGCCAGTTGGGCCCGGCAGATGTAGCGTACTCTTTGCTCCTGCCGTGCCCCTCCCTGGGTTATGTTCACTGGGACCCAAGGGGTCCATGGGGTGTTTCGGCGCACCTCCGGACAGGACTCCAGATTACATGCCTGGTACTCCTGCAATGAGGAAGTTTGACAAAGAGATGATATCATCCAGTTGCTCATTCCTCATGCACAGGCGACATTACTTCACCTCTTAAGATGCACGTGAAGCTCATTCTTGTACCATCACTGTGAACAGTTAATAAAATTTAATGGATCCTTGCTAGACACCCAAGGGGGTGTTACAGTTCTTTGCAAGGAATGTTAATTTGAGTCCTAATTAAGTTGATTAAATTTGAATTAATTGCAGCTCTTAAGAGAGTTGGAGAGCAAAGAAATCTGTCCGATTTAAAATGCAAGATCAAAAGAGCATTTTAGAAAACTGAATGTTATTTTGATTTGTCTTGATCTTTTGTTGTATAGAAAGCATATAACCGCACAAAATGTCATAACATGTTTTGGTGTGATGTGATTTGTTGATAACATAAGATAAATCATAAAATCATTTAGTGTATAATACCTTCCTGGAGTTCAATTTACTGTCCTTTTAAAGCTTTACTTAGTCCGTTTACTCTTGGGACTCAATTTATTTTTGTCCCGTGTAAATTCACGCCAGTTTTTATATGGCTAGCCTAGTGAAACATAAACATACTAAAATATATTTGAAATATATTTATTTAAAGCTAAGTATACTACAAATAAATGTACATATTTATCTACTTAATAAAAATTCCCTGCAACTGTACTTTTAGTATACTAAACTGGTATACTTAAAGTCTGCTAAATTGGAACAACTAATTTTGTGCTTGTACTTTTGTAAAGATATACTGAAATATATTTGACTGTGCTAAAGTGGAACTATTGCAAGTATACTTCAGGTACACTTTATATGTCTTGCATTTAAAGACCGATATTATTCAAAGACAATCCTCATCAATAGTGACATTAAAGCACATAGCAGGCTTAATATTAAGAAATATGCATTGTGCACAAGTAGTACTCCAAATAAAGTTTAATTATAATTTTTATATCAGTAAGTCTCGAGCGTTATGTCAGTAAATATGTTAGTAGATTTGAACTATACTTAAATATTTAAAATATATTACTTTTTTTTACAAGGGATAACATCACAATTTTAAAAATAAATTGTATACAAATAGAAACAGTATATCAAAGGAGAAACCGAGGCAAGTATTCACACATTTACTCCAATGAATATTTCTCTGAGTAGGTTTATTTTAAGTCTATCTCTTCATAGGCATGTTTTATTTCTTTTTCATTTTGAAGGTGATGAATGTAAATAACTACAAAGCCATTGGCATACCGTGTGGACGATCAGCTTAATGTAAGTGACAGTCTCAGAACAGCATAAATCTTCAAAATGAAACAGTGTGCTGCGTATTAGATTTGTCTAGTCCACTCAGTCTCTCCTGAATCACAAATGAGCTCCACTTTTACAGTACATCACACATATCTTTCTGGGAGGAGAGCTGCTTGGTTATCACAGTCGAGCAGGAGGCTTCAAGGCTAGAGTGTGTGTGTAAGTGTGTGTGTACTTCAGGTGTACGTACCAGCGCACATCCTGGACAGCTATTTCCATTCTCACAGTTCCTGGAGCGAGAGTGCACCCCTCCTCCACACTCTGAGCTGCACTTGGACCAGGGCGACCATGATGACCAGAAGATCGGTTGAGGGCACGACATCTTCTCATTGCAGAATCTGGTGAGCATAAAAAATGTGTTTTACTCGTATCATGGGTTTAAGTCAGGCCTGCTCGGAGTTGATAAAATGTTTAAAGGGGTCATATATTATAAGACAAATTGCCACAGGTTTGACAACATTGCATGTGGTTATGAGAAACTTGTGAACCTGGCATTTGATGTTACTGACATCCAACCTACACTACAGGCATCACATTTGACAGCTTCAGTAGAGGGGAAGATTATCGGATTATAATGCTTTGAAATTTAACTTGCACTTAAAATGCGCTTAATATCATGAAGTTTTTATTCACATTTTGGATTAATATTTATTTTAATATTTTCTGTTTTCATTTTCATTTTACTTAAAGTTTCAGTAATTTTGTTGTGTTTTTGTCATTTTTATTTTTAAATATTTCTAACAGTTTTTTATCAACTTTTTATTAACTTTATTTCAGTTTTAGTTTTATTACTTCAAGTTAAACTTTTTAAAGTTTGTTTGTTTGTTTACTTTAAATGTTATTTAATGTCAGAAAAAGTTGATTTTATTTCAAGTATTAAAAGTTTTATGTGGTTTTAATTTAAGTTTTAGTTAACTATAATAACTCTGGTTCCAATACAATAAATAGTTACTGTATTTTAGAGATGTATTTAGAAAAATATGTCTGCAGTAATGCAGCAAATGTGGCATCAGCTAGTATTTTGTAGAATGAATTTTTTTACACACACACACACACACACACACACACACACACGCACACACGCACACACGCACACACGCACACTCACTCACAGTTTGTATTTTTATTTCAGTTTTTGTTTTACTTATATTACTACATCGAGTTAAACTAAATTAAAATGAGAAATATTGCCTTGTCAACTAGCTAAAATAAAAAAAATTTGGTAACAATTTACTTAAAGCCTTTATGTATAATGCATTATATAAGTAGTCTTAATGCATTAATTATGCCTTGTAATGCACCTTATAATGTATTGTACAATATCATGAATAATTGTAACCACAGTTAATGCATTATAACACTTAATTTATTGTTACACTATGCATTTTAAATTAGGTTATAATTATTTACGACAAGATATAATGTATTACAACGCAATAAATATTATATTTTTTTTATTTCAGGTAATGCTCATTTTATTTATTAAGTAACAAAAACGTTTCTTTTATTATTAAGGTTTTTATTATAGATTTCCGTTTAGTTTTAGTTAACTATAACTCTATAACGCTGACTTATACACAGACACAGCAAACACAAAAAAAATCTTCTTGCATAAATGTAAATAAATGAATCTATAAATAATAAATTCTAAATTCTTCTTGCATAAATCAATCTATTCATCACACAGAATTATCATATGGCTTCAGAAAACTTGGAATATATTCATATGGACTACTTTTATAGTGTTTTGTTCTTGGTCAGCCCGTGGTCACTATGAACTTTTATTGAAAAAAGTAATAGCATATAGTTTGGAGCAACTGAGAAAATAATGTCAGACTTTTCATTTTGGAGTAAACTATTCCTCTAAGGCACAAGAGCAAATAAAAGCAGACTTAATTATAAGGATCACTGAGTAAAAATGGTAATACAAAACTCAATAATGACTATTTTTGGTGTAAAGACTGAAAAACATTACAAGTGGACCCCAGAGGGGTTATTTAAAAAAATCATCTATGATAAGACCCCTTTTAAAAGAAACCGACTAAGAAAGATTAAACTTTCTTGTATGAAAGTGAATCAAATCTAATTTGAGGCTCCTTAATTACATTACCAAATCTTTATTAAATAACTGATGAATATCTAAATATAATTATGATATGTTTCAGGTCTTGATTTTTACATTTAGATGTGCAAGAAATAAAAACGCTCTTCTTACCTCTGTTCTCTGCTTTGCCCCACACACACTCGGCCACCATGCCTGGGCGAAGGATTGTTACAGGATCGCTGGCGGACTTCAAACCCAATCTCACAGCTTGTGCTGCACTGGCCCCAGGACGACCAGGGAGTCCAACCTCCATTCCTGCAGAAAAAGGAAAGAAAGAAAAAACAGTGAGCATCAGTGAACCTTGGCAAGAAGAGATAGGTATAAACCCATTTTCTCATTTGGGATATAGAAATATTTTTTTTCCGGCAGCACTGCTGCATTTGATAAGGCTAATGTGACGTGATGGAGGAGAAAGAGGACAGGTTCGGTAAGGAATTTTGATCGGGAAACATTAAAACACAATTCAGTTTCAGCACCTTAGATGCAGGATGGCAGCAAACGGGGAAAAAAACTGATCATAGAAACGCTATAACTGAATTTGAATTATGTGGCTGAACTATTGCTTTAAGGAAAAACTTTTTACTTGCCTTGAACAGTTGGACACCTCAATGGTGGGACCCTCGCAGTTTTTACCTCCGCAGCGAGGGGGCGGACCATCGCAAGCCCGTGATCGGCAAAGACACGTGCTGGTGCCTTCGCCGTCATCGTGGCTACAGGGTTGCCATGGAGCCCAGGGCCCGTATGCGCCATCTGTGGTTTGGTTCCTCAGCTGGAATAAATTAGAAAAAACGTGTGAATTTGAAGGTTGGGTGCGTGCAGAATCTCAGTCCTAAAAATAATGACCACAAAGCAGCTGCCTCAAGTGATGTTATCAATCATGCGGCATAGCACCTTTCACGCAACACCGATTTCAAAGCTGCAGAGGGAGACTGTCAGAGCGCTATGGAGACGGCGGACATGTGTCGAAACATCAGTCATGCATGAGGCAGTGAATGAGGTGGACTCTGTGAGTGAGGTGGACTCTTTAAATGGCTGGTCCTTACCGGACAGGCAGTGATGTTCTGGAACCACTGGCTCATGTTGGAGCTGTCTTCTATGGTGGTGCAACGGCGCTGCTTTCGGTCCCAACCACAGTAAGGGTCTCTTGCATCCAAACACATCCTAAAATAGAAATAAAAGAAGAGTCAGGGAAAAGAGAAAGTGAGAGAGAGAAAAGAAATACACACGGGCTTAGTGCATGAATAGTATTGGTAAATTGTAGTCAATATTAAATTCGAATTGACCTCATTTATTTATAATGTGATTAATTCCAAAGACATAAAATAATTTTTGCGATCTTTAATCATACTGTAAAAATCTTTTTTTTTAAACAAATTAATACTTTTATTCTGAAAGGATGTATTTAATCAAAAGTGACAGTAAAGACATTTATAATGTTAAAAAGATTTCTATTTCAAATGAATGCTGTTTTTTTTAATTGTCTATTTATCAAAGAATCTTGATGAAAATGCATCAAAGTTTTCACAAAAATTATTAAGCAGCACAACTGTTTTCAAAATTGATAATAATAAGAAATATTTCTTGAGCACCAAAGCAGCATATTCTGAAGGATCAAGTGAAACTGAAGACTGGAATAATGAAAATTCATCTTTGCCATGACAAGATCCGTATAACCCGGGTTAAAAGCGCTATATAAATAAAGGTGACTTGACTTGACAAGAATAACTAACATTTTAAAATCTATTAAAATAGAAAACACAAACGTCATATATATTAATCAGCATATCATCTAAACCTAAATTATATAAATTATAAATGATAGTATTTATTTATATTATTATTATTATTATTATTATTATATAATTAACTATTATATATAATTAAATATATGAATATATATACATATGGAATCACAACTTTTCTGCTGACATCACTCAATCCATGAAGGCTATTGGATAATGTCAAATAGCTATGCATTGTTTTTAGCAAAACTTAATTTGGGCAACACCCACTTTTCACGATCCAATAAATTCTCTGAAAATAACTGGATAGACTCAAGTTGAACATCCTTCTGCATTCTTAAATAGGTAGTGAAAGAAAAATGGGTTGCAAACAGCAATTCACATTGACTTTTAAACTGAAGAGACATCCAGCATTTGCTTCCCTTGACCAACATCGTAGATTAAAAAGCTTGCACATTAACTGACAGCAGCCCTAGGCGCTACAGTTCCCTGATACAAATCTAAACCACGCCTGGGAGAATTTCCTATCCTTTCTACAAAACCCTTGCTACGCAACACCTCGAAATTTATTAAATATTTGTAAGCTGCTAAAAAAAGAGGCCTAATAAGGTGTAATTAAATCTAAACCCACTAATGAAGTTAAGCCATGAGTGCCATTTCAAGGGCTCAGGAATTTGGGGCGGTGTGTTAGTAAAGCACCAGCAGCCTCACAACCTTCCCTTTAGCTTGAAAGGCTTGTTTTTGGCACAAGTGTATCAGTTTGTTTGCACTGGCCCTCTGGCGTTCCAGCCTCAAGGTTGAGGAAACACACAGAGTGTTGATACAGTGCAGAGTGCCAAGACTGAATCCTGCTGAGAAGGGAGCTCGAACTGGGTTGAGTGCTAAACCACTCCAACGCTTCAACTCTGTCAGGAACATCAAGGCAAAAGAAAAATATCATCCTTCAACAATTTAATTTACATAGATTCTGGACGACCCTCTTGTTAAATGCCAAAAAGTGAATGTTCTGTCATCATGTGTGCAGTGTTGTTTAAATTCTATACGATTTCTCTTTTTTAGTGGAACTAGGGTTGTCATAATACCAAAAAATCCATTAAGCAGACACCAGTGAAATTTCATTACCAGTGATTTTTAATACAAATTTCACACACACACACACACCCCCCTACTAAATATAATGCTTTATTTAAAAAGGTGAAATGTTATTATAAACAGTCATGAAAAATTTCAAAAAGGGAAAATTCTCTCAAATTTTTGAAAAAAAAAAATTTCTCTCATATA